TGGAGTTTATATCTAGTCGAGCATAAGACTAAACTGGAAAAGGTTCAAAGGTTTGCCACCAGACTAGTACCCGAGCTGAGAGGTATGAGCTATGAGAAGAGACTACGGGAATTAAACCTCACTTCGTTGGAAGACAGAAGAGTTAGGGGGGACATGGTCACATTCAAGATTCTCAAGGGAATCGATAGGGTAGATAAAGACAGGCTATTTAACACAAGGGGCACACACACTAGGGGACACAGGTGAAAACTGAGTGCCCAAATGAGCCACAGACATATTAGAAAGAACTTTTTTAGTGTCAAAGTGGTTGACAAATGGAATGCATTAGGAAGTGATGTGGTGGAGGCTGACTCAATACACAGTTTCAAGTGTAGATATGATAGAGCCCAATAGGCTCAGGAACCTGTACACCTGTTGATTGATGGTTGAGAGGTGGGACCAAAGAGCTAGAGCTCAACTTCCGCAAGCACAATTAGGCGAGTATAATTAGGTGAGTACACACACACACTCATTTCTGCTGACTTAATATATATATATATATACATAAGGTATATATCCTTAGAGTATATGCCTCTATTAAGGGCATATACTCTAAGAATATACCAAAAAGAAAAACACTATCCAACCCGTCCTCAAGTCAGGCTCGTTAGAGAGCCTGGCCTAAAGACAAACGCACTTGTCAATCTCAACATAGTGTATTAAAAATTGGTATATTCTCGTATACAAGTTAATATTATTATATATTAAATTTCTATGTATAGTTAAGCATTGGTTAAATTAGTTTTTAGGTTATGTTGGCGATTATTTGTCTTTGCACTATGAGGAGAAACCCATTCTCAGACGAAGTCCATTCCATCCAACGGTCGACCCAAAAGACGCATTCATAAATTTTAACTTGCTGTTCATTCAAAATAGGAATTTTCTCAAATATAGACCACACTACATGAACAATAAACCACACACTATATGAACAATGCCCCTCATATGAACAATGCACTACACATGAACAATGCACCACACATGAACAATGCACCACACACTACTAGGAGTGTACAGGAACAAGAGCACACACACGAACACTACAGCACACTACATGAACAATGCATCACACTACATGAACAACACACCGCACTACATGAACAATGTGCCACACTACATGAACAATGCACTACACGACCAATGTGCCACATTACATGAACAATGCACCACACAAATAATGCACCACATGAACAATGCACCACACAAATAATGCACATGAACAATGCACCATACTACATGAATAACAACTCTGGGGCACTTATTGCATCCAGTTATTAAATTCAATTATTATTTACAGAAGAGATAAATCACATGGACAAATCAGTATTTTCCACATAACAAGAGACCCTTAATCAGACTGACTAATTGCAACACATCACATATGTAACAGGGAGAGAAAAGGCACAGGGAGAGGGAAGCGAGGGACCCTCGGACTCCAACCCGACAATCCCAGAGGGGAGTGGGGAACCCCAAACTAGCAATTCAAGAACCCCAGAGGTGGCTGCAAAACCCCCACTTGCCACCCCATAGGAGCACTCCCACTCCTAGCCCAAACCCTCACCCCGAGCGCTCCCTGAACTTCTTCCTGTCCCAAGCAGGCCCAGGCAAGAACTAAGTCCTCTATCCCTCACCCTATCTCCCTCCAAACCCCCAGTAACTACCCCACAGGAGGATGCGCCTACCCAAGTAGCCCTGCCCATGGAATGGCTTCCTACACCAGTGGGGAGTTTGTGAGATAATGGATATAGGAAAGTGAGCTTCTAGGTAATGAACTCAAACATCAATGGAATTACTAATAAAGCAAGTGAACTGGCCAAAAGCGCACATGAAGCCCAGATGTAATAGGACTCACAGAAACAAAATTGTCAGGCATCATAACAAGTGCAGTATTTCCAAAGGACTACTATATAGTAGTCTACTACTACTATATAGCTGATAAGGAAGGGCTAGAGTTTTGAAGAGATGGAAATTCCGGGCTGTGAAGAATTCAAAGACTACATAACAGGAACTATGACAATGGGTGGACCTAAGATAATAGTAGCAGTCATTTACAACCCTCCATTTACGAGAAAAGCACATGGTGCTTCCTAGCGTACCAGCAGGTTCTCTCAAATTCTTGGACACCTCCGACGATACAAATTACAGTTTTTTTGTTTTAAAGATGCTAATGATGCTGGGATGTAAAGGGGGTGACTGCTGTAATGTTGCAAAGCATTGATTTTTTTTTTTTTAGACAAAATTAGAAAAATTTAAATTTTTTTTAAAAGAACAAATGTCAAAAATGTTTGTTCGGTGAATGTCAGGTAGGCAGCTCCATTTTGCATAAAAAAAATAAATTAAAAAAAATTGAACAAATTTGAAAAAAGGAAAAATGTCATAAAGGTGTGTTCAGTGTATGTCAGGTAGGCTGCTCAATTATTTAAAAAAAAATCATATATTGATGTTTTTCTGCAGTAGAACAGATTAATTTTATTTCCATTATTTTAAATGGGGAAATTTGTTTCGAAGGACGAGCGTTTCACATGACGAGCTCGGTGCCGGAATGGATTAAATTTGTTAATCAAGGTTCCACTGTATCTACAGGTTTTGTTCACCATAATGAACCACTAAGTTAGTATGATGAGTCCAGACAATAACAGAGGTCACCACCCACGGGACACCACGAGCGTAGCTCTCATCCTGTAACTACACTTAGGTAATTACACTTAGGTAATTACAGTCAGCTGATGCTCCTTCATTCCCTCGCCAACAATCCTCCTCCCACCATATTCTTTGTGCTGTTATTACACTATAGTAGTAGAGTAGAAGGCATCCATCAGTCTCAGGAGACTGGCTTTGCACTCTCTCGATCTGGAGTCGCCTCTCCAGTGCGCAAAGCCAGGGTAGGTTGATATGGAGAAGTTGTTACCCAAGCAGCAGGTCCCCCACCCTTCTCCACAGTGCCGAAAGCCTCCAATGGAAAGACAAAAGCTAATACGATTGGTTTCAGTGCCGTCGCGGGAACTGTAAGCTCCGGAGTTGACCTCAAAGTTGGTAAAAGAAGGCACATGGACTCCTAACCCAAAGACTGCTGTGGTCGGAGCCGGAGAAGAACCACCCGAGCTAGGTCAAGAACGACCCCAGCCTCCTCAAGCAGAGCCTGGGCCTCACGAGCCCCAGGTGGTGGATTTCCCAATCCCGCACCTACAGGTTCCAGACGTGATCATCACAACCCTCTTTCACCCAAGGCCAGCTTCCTTCAAGACCAAGCAGAAGAGCAATAATTATTCAATACAACAATCATTATAATAATTATAATAATATAATAAATAATTATCTATTACACTATATACACACACATTATATATTTAAGTATTTACATGTTTTGTTCACCATAACTATACAACTAAGCTGGTATGGTGTCCAAACAACATAGTGGCCACACTACACAGTATGACAAGTCACACACATCAGCCAGCAGACACCACCACCACCCTCACCAAAATGGCTCCTCCCAACATACTCCTTTTGCTGTTATTACATTATAAAAACACGTTGTATATAAGTATCTACATTCGTGTTCACCATAGCAAAATACTAAGCTGGTATGGTGAATCCATACAATAATAGGTTGCCATACAAGAGTCGCCAGACAACACTACCTAATTCCCTCACCAAGATTACTCCTCCCACCATACTATGCACAGCGCTAATTATCACCACAATCCTGGTCATTTTTATCACAATCAGGGATCTTCTGTAACACTATCATCACTAAATAATAGGTTACATACATATTTTGAAAATTTTAGGCGATGCTGTGGTCACAAGCTTAACAGCAGCGCTGTTAGCTCATGCTGCGTGCATCAGCCTTGGTTGCTCCCTCAGTGCAGTACTGAAGCTCTCATACCCGGGAATGTTACCCACTATTTTTTTTTTTTAAATGGCGTCTGTTTACTAGAGCCGAGGAAGCTGATGTGAACCCCATGTAGCCATGGGGCTTTTAAATCATGCGTGGCACCCTCAAATTTATATATACGATGTGTGCAGTTCAGCGACATTTACTCAAATTGTATACTGTATATACAATTTGGCTTATGCAAATCCTGGCCATTATTTTAGATTTGCGGCCACCGGTTATAGTCACAGTTATGATTTGGATATGGAATTGTTCACCATTGATTGTTCTATCATGTGCCATGTTCAAAATGATAAATACATCAATCAGTTTAAGGACTAAGGGTCATGTTGCCCACCCCTCAAGTCGGTAAATAAATTTCTTAATATCACGAGTGCGTAAATTAAAGAGGTTAGGCACTGGAGCCACGGCATACCACTTACTAGGGAAGTGAGGGAGGTTGAGCATGAACTGACATAGGAAAGGGTGCATCCTCCCAATCGGTGCTCTTCCTTTATGACCACAGCCCCACGGCAGTGAACATTCTCCAATGCAAAAACCTTTATATCTTGTTGCCCAGTCTAAACACCTAAAACCTACTGGTGAGAACAGCCCCTCTGGTATGTGATCATCCAATGACCTGAATAAGGAGCCTAAGCCAGGGTTCTTATGCACATACACCATACCAAGGGAAGAGGTGATTGAAGAAATCCACTACAGTCTGAGGGCATTTCACACGAGCCCCCTCGCTGCTACAAGGCAGGAAGAACCCATGAGTGGCAATAGCACTATAAATCTTCCAAGTATTTAGCAAAAACAACAAAATATGCAAATAATGTATCTTGTATATGAACTTTGGGATTGGAACCTTCGAATTACCTGTTTATTTTAATAGATCTTTTATTGCAGCCTGGCCTAAAAGATACAGTATAGACCTTTAAAAAATTAGTTTTTAGAATAAACTTAAGGAAAAATATTGGTACCTTTACAAATGTCTACAGCAGTCTTTGACAAGTACATGACGTATCCTATTTGTTTGGGATACAATAATTTAAAACAAATTAATACAGTATCATTAGGTAAATAAAACTTTTTTTTAGAAATAATTATAATTCATTTCCTGTATGACAAATCCTACAAAATTTGAATGTAAATAGTTGATATAGAATCTTTGAAAACCATTCTCAGATATAAATGCTGTAGCATAAAGCCTTTGCATCAACAAATAACATGACAAGGTTACATATAAAATCTTTGACACTTACATTTTCCCAAACAATATTTATGTATTAAAAATACCTTCTATGTGCACATGACTCCACTTAGTTGCAATAAAGCCAAATGCAATAATACAGTAAAAGTCAATACTAATGTTACATGTTTTGAGTGATACACCATTAGTATAGAACATCACTGCTCAAAGTTTGGATTTTAGTTTGCTCATGAGCCCTTCCAATTTCATCGCTTTAGCCAAATCTCCTGAGATCTTCATCTTTCCTGACATGAATGCAGTTGCTGGTTTTAAGGAACCTGTAAACATCTTGAAAAAGTTTTCACTGCTCATAACAAAAGTGGCATCAGCAGTAACCGATGGGTCACCACGCCCACAGGAACCCGAGCCATTCTTCAGGTCTATATACCATTTACCTGATTCAGCCCCTGTCACTTCAAATGAATATACAGCCTTGGTCTTTTCTACAATTTCATTGCTCAGGAAACCCTCAATCTTGGCAAAGATCTGAGCAAAACAGAAAAAAACATTTACTTTGAATTTATACACAGTACTTTTCATTCACTTGGGCCCTAGGAACCTTGAGGTTGGAACCTCCAGTGGAAGGCGGTAGCTCTACCAACACGCAATGAACAGCCACAATAAGAAGGTATTCCAGAAGCAACTTACTGCTGTCCAACTGGAACTTTGAGCCTTCCCTGGGCTATAACTCAAGCATGGAGGATTTAGGAGATTCATGCCCCAGTCATATCAATTGTCAACCACAATAAATGTGGGTAATATTTCATTCAATTGGCCCCTAGGATTCTCGAACCTCCGACCCTCAGAGTAGGAGATACTAGCTCTATCAACCACGCTCTGGAGATCAAGAGGTCTGATGCTCCGAGAACCCTAAGTGAATGAAATGTTATTACCCACATTTATTGTGGTTGACAATTAATATGACTGGGGCCTGAATCACCCAATTCCTCCATGCTTGAGTGACAGACAGCCCAGGGAAGGCTCAAAGTTCCAGCTGGACAGCAGTAAGTTGCTTCTGGAATACCTTCTTATTGTAGCTGTTCACAGTGTGGTGAATAGAACCGTCTTCCGCTCTGCAGATCAGAGGTTCAAGGCTCATCGGGCCCAAGTGAATGAAATGTTATAACACACATTAAATGTGGTTAACACTTATATACAGCACACTTTATTTTATTTATGTGCAAGAAAGTACATTAGGTTGAAAGAGTACATACATTGGTGATTGAGTGTGACATTCTTGCAAAGCCACTAATATGTATAGTGTTTCAGGTAGGTCATATGCTAACAATATATGTAATAATAGATATATTGCAATAAAATTTGAATTCACCATAATAACTATTATAAATTGATAGAATAGATTATACTGATGAAGTTACATGTCTTAAGGATTAGATTAGGCGAGTATGAATCACAAGATACAATGCGAGTTAGTAAGTGTAAGCAATTAACAAAACAAGGCACCAAACCGAGAAGGCTATGTAGCACCGTCAAATGAGCGGAATAATCATAGGGCGCTAAATATCACTAAGGATGCCAATATGAGAACAGCAACACACAAGGTGAACAATGTCAAAAGCATCCGATTCACCAAGAATTCTATCGAGGGACAGGTGACCGCGAGGGGCGGTCGGAAAGCAAGACACACGCTCGTCCTGGAAGTCAGGACATTCAAGAAGGACATGCACGACCGTAAGAGGGACAATGCAACTAGGACAATAAGGAGCAGGGCGGCGCTCCATCAAGTGACCATGGGTTAAGCGAGTATGGCCAATACGCAACCTCGCCAGAGCTGTTTCCCACCGCCGGTTACGGTGGAAGGAGGACGGCCACGAGGAAACACAACATTTAAGAGTACGTAGCTTGTTACCAGTAACAGACAACCAAGAAGCCTGCCAACGGGTAAGAACTGAGGAATGGATAACTGGGTAAAAGTCGGAATACGGAATGCCTTTACGAGAGATGGGACAAGAGCGGACAGCTTCCTTAGCGGCAGCATCCGCACGCTCATTTAAAGACACACCAATATGGCTGGGAACCCAACAAAACTCAACCGACTTAAATTTACTGTGAACGAGAAACAGCCAATGCTGGATCTCGACACCTACTGGATGAACCGGATTAAAGGACCCGAGAGCCATGAGGGCACTACGAGAGTCAACAACAACCACAAAGGAAGACTGACAACGAGAAAGCAGGAGACGAAGAGCATAGAGAATAGCATAAAGTTCTGCTGTAAAGATGCTAGTCTCCGGAGGCAAGCGACACATATAAGTGCGATCAGGAAAAACAACAGAGTAGCCAACCCCGTCCGCTGACTTAGACCCATCGGTGAAGACAGAAACGGAGCGGGAGTGAGAAGAAAAGTGCTCGAGGAAAAGGCGTTTTAGAACCGTAGGAGGGGTAAAAGCTTTAGTGATACGGGTCAAGGAAGTACAAAACCGCGGAAGAGGGACCCTCCACGGGGGCAAAGAAGGAACAACATGAGGAGAAACATCAGAAATACGAACGGAGAGAGAATCCTGTAGGCGAGATAACCGGACAGAAAGAGGGAGGTGGTGAAGAGGAACAGGAACCGCAGGAGGGGTAAAAGTTAAAGTACGACAGAGGCGAGAGGAAGGATGTTGCAAGGACCGCGCAAGATAGCGAAGACAGTAGCGATCACGGCGGTCCTGGAGAGACAGGAAGCCAGTGTCAACATACAAGCTAAGGATGGGAGTCGAACGAAAGGCACCAGAACTGAGGCGCAACCCAGGATGGTGCAAAGCATCAAGACGGCGAAGAGTAGAAGGAGAAGCAGACGAGTAAGCAGGGCAACCATAATCGAGCTTAGACAGGACGAGAGAGGAATGTAAAGCAAGGAGAGTGCGCCTATCTGCCCCCCAAGAAGTATGGGACAAGACCCGAAGGAGGGTAAGGGCCTTAGAGCACTCAACACGGAGGTAAGAGATATGGGGAGACCAAGACAAACGAGTGTCAAGGAATAACCCCAAAAGCTTCGCGGAATCTTTGTATTCAAGGGGATGACCATAAAGTGACAAAGAGGGACGAAGAACAACCCGTTTCCGCGTAAAAGTCATGGCACAAGTCTTAGAAGTAGAGAACTTGAAGCCATGACCTGTGGCCCAAGACGACACGGCATCAATTGCAAGTTGAAGCCGGCGTTGAAGGAGAGGCGAATCATCACCCTGACAACAAAGGGTAAGATCATCCACATAGAGAGCGGAGAAGACACCAGAAGGAAGAGAGGAAAGAAGACCATTGAGGGCAACAAGAAAAAGAGTAGTGCTCAGAACACTACCCTGGGGCACACCTTCGTATTGCTGAAAAGAGGGAGAGAGAGCGGTACCAAGGCGCACCCGAAAGGAACGACGAGAGAGGAAGCTACGGAGAAAGAGAGGGAGATGACCACGAAGGCCAAAAGAATGAAGTTGAGATAGGATATGATAACGCCAAGTGGTGTCGTAAGCCTTTTCTAGGTCAAAAAGGACGGCAACAACGGAGGTCTTCGCAGCAAAAGCAGTACGAATATAGACCTCCAAGTTCACCAGGACATCTGTCGTGCTGCGGCACTTGCGGAAACCAAATTGAGAAGGGGAGAGGAGGTGATGGTGTTCCAGGAACCACATCAGACGAACGTTAACCATACGTTCAAAGAGTTTGCAGACACAACTTGTGAGAGCAATAGGGCGAAAGTCCTTAGGGGAAGTACCCAGAGACCCCGGTTTGCGAACAGGGAGGACAACGGCATCGAGCCAGTCCTCAGGGACTGACGACGACTCCCAGATCCGATTATACAGACTCAGTAAATACTGAGACGTGCTCGGAGGGAGATGGCGAAGCATCTCATAATGAATACCATCGGAGCCCGCCGCCGTAGAACCGCAGAGGGCCAGGGCAGAACGAAGTTCAGAGAGAGAGAAGGGATCATTATAGGGAAGCTGAAGATGAGTGCAGAAATCTAAAGGACGAGACTCAAGGACAGGTTTACGAAGAAGGAAAGATTGGGGAAGATGAAGACCAGAGCTAACAGAAGAAAAATGGGAACCCAGTTCGGAAGCGACCTGCAACGGGTCCGCCACAAGAGTATCATGGAGGTGAAGGACCGGTGAAACATCGGGAACGAACTTACCCGCTATCTTGCGGATACGCTTCCAGATCTGGGCCAGAGGGGTCTCGGACGTAATTGTTGAGACATAAGATGCCCAACATTCACGTTTAGCCGTACGGATGGCCCTACGGGCCACCGCACTCGCTTTCCGAAAGAAAAGAAAAGAATCGGTCGTCTGCCTACGGCGGTGCCTCTTCCAGGCTGCACGCTTACAGCGGACAGCCCGAGCACAGTCCGCATTCCACCAGGGAACGCACTTCCGAGGACCCCGAGAGGAAGAGCGAGGAATAGAGCGGAGGGCAGCGTTGAAGATAGTGTCATGAAAAAGGAGGAGAGCGCGAGAGAGAGGCAGAAGGGAGAGGTCAGGGAGAGCAGCACTGAGGGTAAATAGGGTCCAGTCTGCCTTAGCAAACTGCCACCTAGGGAAAGAGAGGGAAGGGCGAAAAGAGAAAAAGGAAACAAGGATGGGGAAATGATCACTTCCATGGAGGTCATCAAGAACCTGCCACGTGAAATCTAAGTAAAGAGAAGAAGAGCAGAGAGAAAGATCAAGACAAGAAAGGGTGCGAGTCCGAGAGTCCAAATGAGTGGGCTCACCAGAATTCAGAAGAGACAGGGAAGAAGAGAGGAGAAACGGCTCAAGGAGGCGACCCCGGGTATTCGTCAGAACGTCACCCCAAAGAGAATGACGACAATTGAAGTCACCCAGCAGGAGCACAGGCTCCGGCAAGGAGTCCAGGAGGTGTTTCAAATCAGGAAGAGAGAGCGGGACACTCGGGGGGAGATAAATGGAACAAACTGTGTACCATTTCCCCACAAAGATACGAGCAGCAGAACAATGGAGAGGCGAAGGAAAAAGTAAAGGAACAAAGGGAACATCAGCCCGAATCAAAAGAGCAGAAGAATTAGAAGCCCCAGCAATGGCTGGGGGGGGGGAGAGAAAGGAATAGCCACGAAAACGACCAGGACGAGCACCAAGCATTGGCTCCTGGAGACAGACACAAAGGGGCGAAAACCGCGAAATCAGAAGTTGGAGTTCGAGGAAATTGGCGTAATAACCTCGAACGTTCCATTGAAGAATGGACAACGACGAGAAGAGAAAGGACAAAAACAGAGAACAAGGAAGAAACAAAGGCGAAAGACCAACAGAGCACGTTAAAGAATATCAGGGTCGGGATCAGGGTCAGCAAAGTCAGGGTTAGGGGGCATGGGTAAACTGAGCAAAGACGGAGGGAAGGAAACGGGAGAACAGAGCAGAGGTGGGCGGGCAGGGTCTGGAGGAGGAGGAGGAAGAGGAGGAGACAACGGAGAGGAGCCGTCAAGGACAGCAGCAGGAGGAGGGGGAGTAGAAAGAGGGGAGCGCACCCCAGCAAGA